CCCGATTACTCTCATAGAGCCTATAGATACTACACTAAACCCTTCACCCTTAACTCCCCATTATTATATTCTCCATCACCTAATATTGTAGGGTTCTTTATCCCGGTAGCCACATTCATTTTGTTTCACTGTAATCTGATTATTGCGTCATGCGTGATCTTGTTGTATACTTGTCCATTGAGCGATGGGTGGACCGCTGATTTGTGGGAGGATGAATTGGCTATTGATTTGTCGAAATGACCAGTTGGGGTGAATAGCCGGAGTGATCGACCGTAAGAACTCTAGGGAGGTTCAGGTTGGTTTGAATAGGGTGTGAGTTTGCTAGCCCCTTGCGGGGCTAACTATGACCTAGCGTCTTTGTGATCTCGTAATGTGTTCTGTTTTCGCGAATCATGAGGTGTGTATTCCGAAATAAAGATATTTTATTACGAAAGTAGTAAATGTAAGTAGTACATAAAGATATTTGTTATGAAACTATCATGTGGGCTACTGGTAAAACCTCTTGAGGCGATTTGAATTCCAAATACGCTCGATCAGCTTGCCTTCCATAGTTTCCAACTTAAAGGTGCCTGGTCTGATGAATGCCGAGACTCTATAAGGGCCCTCCCAGTTCTTGGCTATTTTCCCGCCTTGATTTGGTAGGGCGGCTTGTCTATCTCTGAGTACTAGGTCCCCTATGTCAAAGTACCTAGGCTTTACGCGCGCATCGTGGTATCTTTTCACAACTTGTTGATATTTTGTCATTCGATGCTGAGCTGCGTCTCTCCGCTCTTCGAGGAAATTCTTTTCTAGTTGCAGTAGCTCCTCATTGGCCTGATCCTCATATTGTAGCACCCTATTCGTGGGGCATAGGATCTCGATAGGGACTTTGGCCTCGAACCCATACGTGAGGCTGAATGGGGTTTCCCCGGTTGCCCGTCGCGGAGTGGTTCGATGAGCCCATAGGATGTGGTCGAGTTGGTCGACCCATGCACCGCCTTCTTCTTCTATTCGTTTCTTTAGTCCATCCATGATTGTTCTGTTCGCGTTTTCTACTTGCCCGTTTACCTGTGGGTAAGCCACTGATACCTTGGTGTGCTTGATAGAATAATTTTCACAGAATTTTGCGAAGTCATTGCAATCGAACTGTTTGCCATTATCAGTGATGAGATGCTCAGGCAGGCCAAAACGACAGATCACTTTCCTCCACAGGAATTTGCGACACTGGTATTCGGTGATGGTTACCAATGGTTCGGTTTCGATCCACTTAGTGAAGTAGTCAATGGCGACTATGCAGAACTTGTGGCGCCCTGGCGCTTGGGGTAGCGGTCCCAGGAGGTCTACACCCCACTTAGCGAAGGGTATGGCTGGGGTAACCGGTGTGTAGAAGGTGGTCGGTCAGTTTTGCTTTACTGCAAACTTTTGACAAGTATGGCAACTTTGAACCCTTTGGATGCAATCTTGTGTCATGCTGGGCCAGTAGTATCCTTAGACCAGTAATTTTTTAGCTAGGGTGTTCGCTCCCTGGTGAGCTGCACATATCCCGTTGTGGGCTTCCTCAATTACATGTTTGGCTTCGCTTGGCAGGAGGCATTTTAGTAGGGGTCCTCCGAAAGATCTTTTGTACAGTTGGTTGTCTACCAATTGGTAGGCTGGGGCCCTTCGCTTGACTTTTGCGGCCTGTACAGGATCAGCGAGAAGTTCTGCTTTCGTGATGTATCTGGTTAGGTCTCTTATCCAGCTATCCGGGGATTGGATGCCTGTTGGGGCTACCATTGCGATCAAGAGGGATTCTGTACTGGGCGCGTGGATGACCTATCTCTTGCATATGTGTGCTAAGTGTCCTGGGGTACCTCACAGGGAGATCTTCGAGTGTAGGTCAGCTTCTATGTTTTCCGTGTGGGGCACGTGTTGTATTTCGTAAGCGTCCAATTTTCCCAACAATCCTTCAGTAACATCCTTGTACATTCTAAAGTTCTCCCCTCTGGTCTCGAAGGTGCCTTTGATTTGTCCTACAACGAGTCGTGAGTCTGTTCAAATGCGAAGGTTACGTGCTCCAAGGGCGGTCGCAAGTCGTATGCCTCCAATCACTGCTTCATATTCTGCCTCATTGTTTGATGCTTTGAACTGGTATTCTAGGGCGTAGTATACTTTGAACCCTTCTGGTGAGGTTAGCATGATTCCCCCTCCACAGTGTTTGGTGTTGGCTGCTCCGTCTGCACTCATTTCCCACCAGGTATTCTGGCTGAAATCACTTGTTCTCCCCCTTTGGTCTCTTTCTGTACATTCCACGATGAAATCTGCCAGGGCCTGTGCCTTGATGGAGGGTCGGGGTTTGTACTCAATCCCATATTAGGTCAACTCCATAGCCCATTTCACCATTCGACCGGAGGAAGTTGGGCTCCTCAGGATGCCGGCGAGTGGTTGGTTTGTGAGCACCTCTACGAGGTGGGCTTGGAAGTATGGGACTAACTTCCGTACTATGGTGATCAGAGAGTAAACCATCTTCTCTAAGGGTGTATATCGGGTTTCTGCCCCTCTTAGTAATTTGCTGATATAATATATTGGATGCTGCAGCTTCTCTTCTTCTGGCACCAAAACAGAGCTCACTGCCTGTTGCGATACCGCCGTGTAAAGGTATAAGGTTTCACCTTCTTTGGGTTTGGCTAATAGGGGTGGGGATAACAGATATTTCTTTAACTCCTCAAACGATGCTTGACATTCAGGGGTCCATTCGAACCCCTCTCTTCTTTTGATCACTTCGAAGAACGGTAGAGAGCGCTCTGCTGATTTGGAGAGGAAACGGCTAAGGGCAGTCAGTTGTCCCGTCAGTTTTTGGATTTCCAGTAGGTTGGTGGGCGGTTGCATATCCAGTATGGCTTTTATTTTCTCGGGGTTTAGTTCTATCCCTCTTTGTGCAACCATGTATCCTAGGAATTTTCCCCCACGAAGAGCGAATGCGCATTTCTTTGGATTCAATCTCAGTTTGTATCTTCCCTTGAGTTGGAAGCATGCTCTAAGGTCTCGAGAATGCTCGGGGGCTTCTTTGCTTTTTACCAACAGGTCGTCGACATAGGCCTCCATGCTTTTCCCAAGCAAGCTGTGAAATATTTTGGAGACCATCCTTGTAAATGTTGCTCCCGCATTTTTCAGGCCGAACGGCATCACCTTATAGCAATAGACTCCATCAGGTGTCAGGAATGCCGTTTTTTCTTCGTCATGTTCTTCCATAAATATTTGGTGGTAGCCCCGAAAGGCGTCCATGAAGCTAAGTAGTGCGCAACCAGCAGTTTGGTTTACCAGTTGGTCTATTCGTGGTAAGGGGAAAGGGTCCTTAGGACACGCCTTGTTGAGGTCAGTATAATCAACACACATTCTCCATGATGGGGGCTTGGGTACTAGCACAACATTTGCCACCCAAGTGGGATAGGTGACTTCTCTGAGGTGATCGATCTCTAGTAGGGTGGAAACTTCTTTTTTTACGAATTCTCTTCGGTCTGCCGCTAGGTGCCTCTTCCTTTGCATGACTGGTCGGGTGGCCGAATTGACGGATAAGTGGTTGGTGATGACCAACCGGTCAATTCCGGGCATGTCTTCGGGTCCCCAAGCGAATAGGATTTTGTACTCTTTCAGTGTCTGTAAGATGCTCAAGCGGACCTCTTTTGTTAACCCTTTGCCTATCTTGATCGTTCTATCTAGTCTGGAGTTCTCCAAAGCTACTTCTTCTAAATCGGCTACGGGTTCCGGCCTTTCCATAGTCTCCTCTCCTTTGGTTTTCTCGGTGATAGTTTGGACCTGCAGGTCGTGTCTCCCAATTTGCCGGCAAGAGAGGAGGTAGCATGACCGGGCCACATGGCGATCGCATTTAGCGATCCCCACTCCTTCGGGTGTTCGGAATTTTAAGCACAGATGCTCGAGCGACACCACAGCCCCCAGGTCCTCTAAACCCGGACGTCCTAGAATTATTTTGTGCGCAGAATTGATGTTAACAACCACGAACTCCATGTCTAGGGATCGGACCCTTGGGTATTCTCCTATTTCCATGGGCAAGGTGAGGCACCCCTCAGCCTCTACGCTATCTCCGGTGAACCCAGCAAGTGGCGTTCGCACCAGGTGCAGTTGTTCTCTGGACAGTCCCAGTTTGTTAAATGTCTCAAGGTACATGACATTAACACTGCTGCCAGTGTCTACAAATACTCTCCGGACGGTGGTCCCGTTGATGTCCACGGTGATGACGAGCGCATCGCGGTGTGGTGTTGGGTCGTTCGGGAGGTCTTCATCAAAGAAGGTGATGATGTCCCTCTGGCCTTTCTTGATGGGGGGTCTATGTTTCACTACGCCTACATATAATTGTCTAGCCCAACGTTTTCTTTCGCGAGAGCTGTCTCCAATCGCAGGCCCGCCACAAATCATGTGGATCACACGCTTGTGTTTCCAGTTTCGATCGTCTTGCTCTTCTGGATTCCCCTTTTCTTGGTTGGGTGCTTTCTGTTAGGGCCTATCCTTAAGTTCGACGTGAGGGTCCCGGGCTGGTGCCCATGGAAGTTTTCGCCATTGGTTGGGGCGAGCAGTTGAATGTCTTTTCTGGATAAGCTCCTCGATTTCTTTTTGTAGGGTAGTACATTCTTCGGTAGAATGTCCTGTGGACCTGTGATATCGGCAGTATCTGGCTCTTCCCGCGGCCAGCTGTTCCTCCGCCTTTGTGGGTAGTGGCGGTAGGTTCTCTATAGGTCGGGGTGGTTGGACTTCGTGCATGTGCCTCGCCCCGAGGGCGGGGACTGTTCTGTGTCGAGGGGGAAGTGGCCCCCGAATGACGTTAGATCACTCTTCGGTCCAACGAACGCGTTCTCGTCTTGTCACGGGGTCGTTTCGCTTCTCGCCTTATTTTTTGTCGCAAAGCCTCTTCTGTTTCCGCATAGATGTTGGCCCTCTGGATGGCCTGTGCATACGTGTCGGGCCCTTCGCAAACTAGTGAACAGATCCCCTGACCGGAGGGCTTCCATGAATAAAGTAAGGGCCGTTCAATCATCTAGATCTTCCACAGCCTGTACTTCCTTCTGCCATCTTTTTAAGAACTCTTTTAGTGTCTCAGTTTCTCCTTGTTGTATGGCAGTCAGGGCCATGAAGTGCTTCTTTGCTTTCATGCTTCCTGCAAAGTAGTTTAGGAATTATTCGACTAGGGTTTCGAAGCGGTCAATGGACCCTGGTGGTAGAGATAGGAACCAGCGCTGCGCTGCCCCGCCCAGGGTTGAGAAAAAGGCGCGACAGTACATGGGGTCCTTCGCCCCTATTACCATCATCTTTGCCTAGAAGCCGACTAAGTGATCGCTGGGGTCCCCCGTTCCATCGTAAGTAGGCATTGTCGGACACTTGAAGTCTCTTGGCGCGCGATATTCTTGGATTTTCATAGAGAATGGACTGGCAGACAACAGAGATCGAGCGGTTGGTCGATCTCCCCTACCCTCGACCATCCTTTAGAGGTCTCTCACCTCCCTGGCGAGTTCTGCCATCTCTCGATCTCGGTTTGTAACACCCCCTAAAACCATGCTATTTAAAGCCTTAAAACATGCAGATATCTTAAACCAAAACATCAAACACAGCGGAAGACTGAAAGAGGAAATATATAAAAGAAAGGAAACGGGGTGCTATGCCACGCTCACCCAAGGGTGAACGCACAGGCTAAATCTGCATTGTTTAAAATCTACAACCATCTAAACAAAGTACTAGGTCTAGATTGGCTCACAGGCCACAAAACATAAGAGGGGAGCTATACTAGCTGGCACTAAACCGCGCACTCGTCTAAGCATCAGCTGAAAGAAGCATATAAAACATGGGACGACGCCCGGTCAGCGAATAATGCTGGTAACCCACCAATACATGTGAAATATCATACATAGATAAGATATAAGTTTGTAAAGCCATTTTCGAAACGGAATATATATATATATATATATATATATATATATATATATATATATATATATATATATAAGTCCAACACCAAGAGTAATAGTCAACACAAGACTCAACACTCTCAACAAGAACACGGGAACACATCCCAAGACTACAAAGAACGACAACGACTCACAAGAAGTCTCAAGGACCCCTGTACACCAAGTCCAACCTTTTCCCTCCGAGGACCGTCGTCCCCTCTCCAACAGATTTCCAACAGAACCACCGATTTCATAGTACACGAGGGTACCGATCACACACACGGCAACACATGCCTCTCCCATAAACACGTGAATCTTACACAAAGGTCACAACTCCATAATCACGTCATGGCCACCACGAGGACCACTGCAATACCTTGGTGACTAGTGTCCCATACCACTAATCTTGCAATCCAGGTAAAGCCACACACACATCACACCACAACAGGAATCAATCAACGGATCACAATAAAGATATGAAACCATACTCAATCAAGGAATGGATCACAGTCCAACAACAACGATGAATAACACAAGTTATCATCAACCATTAAGAAGGTACAAACAACACACACGCTAGCATTTAAACACCGAAGTGGCATGCTTAACAAACGGGTAAACCAAACGTAGTTCCGAAGAACACACAAGACTCATCACGGTTCAACGAAACACAATGTTGAACACTTAGCACGATTCAAGACACCAAGACCTACATGGATTCCTACCATATAGTTATAGACATACGAAACATCAAGAAGACACTCAAATAGTTCCACAAAAGAACATCGGGAAGTCAAAAGACCAAATACCGAGTCAAAAGAATCACGGGGAACAAATCCCCCAACATCCATATATTTTACCTCGCGGGTGGACCCACGGGTAGACCCCTACCCATGGTTCCGCCCGCGGGTACATAACCCACAAGCAACCTGTACCCCGCGGGCGGGCGACGGGTGGACCTCCTACCTGCCGTTCCGCCCGCGGGTACACACCTGTACCAAAATAAATCCCTTCGGGGATTTTCATCTCCAAACTCAAATTCAAGTCCAAAACATGCCAAATCTCACCAAATACAACAAAATGACTTGAATCAAAGGAATAGCCAAGCAATGGCATACATGAACCCTGATAACAAGCTCTAGATATGCATTTTCACAAGACAATGCATAAACACTCACATTTCATAGCAAAATCACATGTAGAATCTAAGAAATATTCATATAGGTAAGCAAAATAGATTTTGTAGAGCATGGATTACCTCTTGTAGACAAAAACCTTCACTTAACACCTCACCAAGCTCCTATCAAAGCTCACCTTCCAAACCCACTTCAAGAACACAGCAAAAGATCATAAAGATTCTAACTTTTAGAAAAGACACCTAAGAAAATACTAAAAACACAAGATGAACATGGATCTTACCCTCCTAGATGCCCAAATGTATGAAAGGTAGAATCTTGAAGACAACTCTTGAAGTTTTGGCAAGGCTTCAATCTTGACTTGGAAGAAAAGCTATCTACCTTTTTAGAGAGAAGGTGGAGCTAGAATTTTGGAAAGTGTAAGGAGAGAAATGAGGGCGTTCTTACTAGGTTAGCTTACAATACTAACACAAGGTGAAAGGTCAAGAATACCCTTACTAACATGAAGAGGTGTAAGGAAACAAGGGAACTCCTTACAAAGCTCAAGGTACAACTTTGACTTTGGGGTTGACTAGTCAATTACTAGTCCTCGACAATTGAATTTCAAGAATTTAAGGAATTAAATTACAAATTGAAATAGGATTAATTACTTAATTAATCCCTTAATTGAATTCGGATTTCGGGGTGTCACACGGTTGCCCCGACCAAGTTCTGGAGTCTCTCCGCTACCCTCCACCATGTCTTGTAGAATTCTTCTTCGATCGGGGTCTCCTTCCCTTGCCCCTCCATGTGAGAACCGGTTGCCTGGATGACCTCCACCTATCGTTGGGGATTGAGCCTGACTCTTTGTTGTGGGCTATCTACCGGGGGGTTTCTGAGTTCTGGCTGTGGAACGGTTGTCTGTTGATTCAGGGGCCCTATGCGGTCAAGGATGGAGACTGCACGACGGGGTCCCTGGGGTGGAGCCGATCTCTGTGTTCTTTCAGGCGGTAAGTTCGAGTTGGGCAGTCGGTCGCCGGCGATCTAGGTGGTGTTGTTTACCCGGGAGGGTTCTGGGGATCCTGCCCTTTCGATCTGGCCATGATGTAGGGCCCCTAAGTAGCGTGCGGCAGCCTCTACTATCTCGAGGGTGAGTTCCACTGGCTGGGTCCGTGGGACACCAATGACCGGTGGGCGTGTGTTCGAACGGACCTCCTCCTCTTCTCTGGGACCTCCCCGTTCATCCTCCCTCTCCAGGGGAATATGCTGATTGTTCGATACTTGCGAGGGGGGGGGCGACTGAGGGTTTCTCTCAAATCTCTGACTGGTCTAGCGACTGGTTGGTCAGTTCGAGTATTTCGTCGTGTAGTTACCATGCTTTCAGGGTTTGAGGAACGAACGATAACTTTTCGTATCGATCCCCACAGACGGTGCCAATGTTGGTTTTATGACTTTTGGGCAGTCAAGTCAACACTACCGTTTAGAATAACGAGAATATAGGAAAAATATATTGAGAAAATATAGGAACTTTGTATTAATGAATATTGCTTGTGAATATCTGGAAGTTGTCCCTTCTCCTCTATGTGCGGGGTCCATTTATACATATTTTGGGCCTAGAGCCCTACAAGGAATAAGAATTCTAGACTGCCTCATATATTGAGACCAAATCCTATTATACTAGAACTAAGCAGTCAAATTCTAATTATAATAGGAATAACAGGCCCAATCTTTGATGAACTCTTGGGTTTCTCCTTATCATATATCTTTATTGGGCTTCCTTGATCCAGTTGCCTTCATGGGCCGGTCCCCATGGCCCAGACCCAGTATATTATCCATCATCCAGTCCTCCACTTTCTTGAGATTTCGCGAGGTCAATGTCTCATGAAAGTATATCAATTTGTGACTGGTCTGATGATGACGATAATAATAATAATAATAATAATAATAATAATAACAACAACAACAACAACAACAACAACAACAACAACAACAACAACAACAACAACAACAACAACAACAACAACAATAATAATAATAATAATAATAATAATAATAATAATAAAGGAAACAACGAAGTAAATGAATGAAAATGGTTAATTGTATGTGTTGTGTGCATGTGTACATAAGTTAGTTGAATGAAAGCTTCACGCGGTCCCACACTTTACTCATATGCATGATCCTTTAAGTAGAGCTCTGCTAAAAGCCGTAGGTGGATCTCGTTGTTTTCAACTAAAATAGCACATTTTAAGCCTGAAAAGATCTTATTATGTGGATCTAAACGCTAACTGATCCAGATGTATTGGACTGCCCCATATGTTATATTCAACTTAGAGATCAACCAGATGTGTTTGTTTGTAAGTTGAATATAACATGTGGGGCAGTCCAATACATCTGGATCAGTTAGATTTTAGATTCATATGACCTGGATCTTTTCAGGTTTAGAATGTGTCGTTTTAGCCCAGACATACGGCAGGATCCTCTACTCCTTTTGGAGATATATCTTTTGGTACCTTAATGCAGGCTTAACCAAAAGAAATATCTCCAAACGGTATAGACAGATCCTGTCGTTTGGCTAGGTTTTTTTATCTTTTTTTTTGTTATTAAAATAAGCTCTCATCTGCGCTTCATTAGGTTTGTTGGTCGATGTTTGTTTCAGATAATTAGTGGGATGTTCCTTTATTATTATTGTTGTTGTTGTTATTATTATTATTATAGTTGTAGTAGTAGCAGTTCAAAGTGTAAATTATTGCAATATAAATAATAAATATTTTTGCATTTTATTCATTTTTGTTTTGTTTTTTTGATAATGATTAAATAAACAAGCAAATCTGCGCACCATGAGCCTAAAATCAATGCACGTTATGTAATTTGGGATTTTAAAAGTTTCGTGTTACATGATAATTTAATACAAAAATCCAAGAACATTAAGAATTTTTTGAAGGAAATATAAGCTATTAAAAAATGCACATTAAGACCATATTCTACGCACATTACAATGTGCACAAAAAAAAACACCCAGATTAACGTATTTCTATTCCACATTCTGTTACTGTATTGCGCATATTAAGCTTTTTGGTATTTGCAACGGACCAAAGTTTTAATACATAAACCAACACACATTTTGTTGCCGTATTACGCATATTAAGCATATGTATTGCATTTTAATTATTTCTTTTTTTCTTTTTTTTTTCTTTTTATTTTCAAGAATTGTTTTTGATTTTCAAAGTGTTTAATATTGTTTATATAATGAGGGTAATGGATGAGCTCATTGGTGAATTGGTAGAAGTTTTTGAACATATTGATTCTGCTCAGGATTGAATCCCCTTTAAAGACTTGAATTTATTTTTTTTTTTTTTTGTTCAATAATGAATGGCAGAGTATGGTCTTTGTCCAAATTATGATTATTAAGCTCTAACGTCGCGCAAGTTAAATGTTAATCAACGCAGGTTAAGCAGTTGGCATTCACGACGGACCAAAGTTTTTATACATAAAAAAAAAAAAAAAAGCACATTCTGTTTAAGTGTTACGCATATTAATCCTGAATGTAGCGCACGTTAAATATATTCTTTTCTTAATCTGGAGAACGGCAGAGTATTTTCTTTGTCCAGGTTTCTCATATTAAGCCTTAATGTCGCGCAAGTTAAATGTTAACCAACGCATGTCAAGCCTGTTTGCATTTTACCACGGACCAAAGTTTTTATACATAAATCAACGCACATTCTGTTTCCAACTAGGCATATTAAGCGTTAATGTAGCTCACGTAAAATGTGTAATCAACTCATGTTAAGCCTTTGGCATTTGTTAAAAAAAAAAAAAAAATTGTTCACTTTTGTCAAGTCATTGTGCAATAGTATAACTAACGCACATTAAGACTTAATTGTACGCAAGTCAAGAATTAATGACACGCAGTTTAAACTATTAGCAGTGATTGTTAGACAGAAATCAGTGATAAAAACAAAATTAGTAATTGCTGAACATTAAAATCAAGTATCTCAACTGTAAAAGCATTATAAAATGAGGTAACTAAGTATTTGTGTTACATATTCTCTATTGATTTTCATTCTCAACTGTAAAGGCGTTGTAAAAATAGACTGCTATGCCTTTTTCTTACCTTTTGTTTGTCCTTATTTTTGGGGTTAAGTGGGCAAGTCCTGGTGTCATGTTGATCTCCTCTAACACCACAAAAATTGCACCTCTTGCCCTTTTCTTTTTCCATTGCCAACTCCTTGATGCTTTTGATATGTTTGCCACTGCCCTTGTTCTTTGCATATTTCGGTGGAAGTATATTGATCTCTGAAATCTCTGTTGATCCACAAAAAGATTCTATAACAGTCTTCCTGCTGTGCTGAGGGGATAACTTTTGCTTTCCTGACATTAGCAGCTGTTTTTGTTCATTAATCACTTGCAAAAATGCAGCCAATTGCTCCATGTTTGAACCTGCTAGATCAATACAACAGTGTACATCTGCCCACAGTTTGTTCAGCAACATCTTCTTCGCATCCTTTGGTCCATTCTGATCATAAATGACACCATCTATTATGTAGCCTTTAAAGATGCATCCTTAGTCCACCAATTAACCACATACTTCAGAGGTATCTTTTCAAGGTCTCTAAAGACCAAAAATATGTGTGTACACAACAGTCCAACCATCTCAAACATCTTGCAACTGCATGTGGCCTCATGGTCATTTACATTGTGCACCACACTAAATATTTTATTCTTTCCATCCATAATATCATAGTGTAACATTCCACCATCTTCTCTAACACTCAACACCATACATTTGAAACAGGAGGCACATATTTCTTCCTGAACTTGATAGAAAACAGTAATGGTGTAGACAATTGAAGCATGTTTTTCGATCCCCAAAGGCGTCTTCATATCTGGATTGTTGCCTTCATTGTCACTGTTGAGCTTTGCATTAGTGTTACGTTGTGATTTAAGAGCACTGTCAAAGTTCATCATGAATTCAACTAGGCTAGACTGTGGGCCAGTAAAACGGTTGTACGTGTAGTTCTCACTTTCGGAACGAGACGTTGTCCTGAGTAGACCCCCCATAAAAACATCTCTAAAATAGGCTGGGATCCAATGGTTTCTTGCCTCAAACATAGTTGTAAAACAATTGTTTTTGACTAAGTTGTACATTTCCATGAGCTCTCTCCACTGTTTCTCAAAATCAGTAGGTTCCAAAGATGATGTCCAAACAATTGAGTTCAGTGTGTTCTTGAACTCTTCATTCTTGTTCAACATAGGACCAACCTTTTCCCCAACTTTACACATAATGTGCCACATGCAATAACGATGCCTGGCTTGCTTGAAAACTCTTGGAATTGCCACTTTCATAGCTGGATCTTGATCAGTGACAATTATTCTTGTTTCCATACCCATTGCCTTTTTAAATTTTTCAAAGAGCCAAACATAAGACTCAATGTCTTCTTTCAACAATAGTCCAGCGCCAAATGTTATACATTTTTTATGGTTATCAACTTCGGTGAAGGGTGTAAAAGCCATATTGTACCTACAAGACAAAAAGTGACATCACAGTATACAGGTGTGAAACTGGCGCACTTATAGCATTGAAGTAACGCACATTAAGTTTTAAATTCGCACACATATGTACTTGAAGACTAACTCTGGATGTTTCACATTAATATGCGTGACATTAGTGTTTAAGATGCATGGTATAAAGCGCCAATGTGCACTTATTTATATTATAATTCTTTTCAAGTAAACAGTGAACATGTCTAAATCTTAACGTGACTGAACTTATCAGGCAATGTTTAATGTGAATTAATTAATGAAACGCACACAAGAATGTGAATAGAATAATACCTGTTGGTTGAATATGTAGCATCAAAAGAGACAACATCTCCAAATGCAGCAAAATTCTTTTTTGACATTGGATCTGCCCAAAATAATCTACTCATTTGCTTATCTTCATCAACTTCGTAGTGAAAAGCAAATGCAGGGCACATCTCTTTTTTATAACAAGATTATGCGTGAGTATTTGTGCATCAGCACCCAATATGTATGCTTTGAGATCCCTTCTGACATTTTTAAAGTCAACTATAGTTGCCCCTATATAAACCGTGTGATTTTGATGCTCCAATATTTGCTTTACCACAATCTAGTATAAACTTCTGGTGAACAATAGAGATGTTTCTATTTCCCTTTAAGAACTGCCTTGCAAGAACTGAAGACATGTTATGATTATGTTTTTCAATAAATGTCTTAACTTGGTACCCAACTACTCCAATGTACTTAAAAATAATCCTAGCTCTGCAACCAGTTCTGTTTGAAACCCTCTGCCGCTTTGGATGGGAAGGACCTTCCCCCGCATCTGCATTTGATTTTGAGTGACAATGTTGAGCACCCGTATTCTTAAATCTTTCTCTATTGCAAACGATTTGCTTTAGAGTTTTCGTCCCGTCACGTGCTTTAAGGACTGGACCTCGTGTCAAACCCAACTTTGGCAGCATAATTATTGTAGAATTCAATACCAGCATCCAATGTTTTAAAAGTCATGTCAGCCACTGGTTTGATTTCATCTTCACAGTGCGGAGTCCAATACTGTGTCATTCCAGGAGATATGGTCAAGGTATAACCATTGTTGCTGCTGCTGGGACTCAAACTGGGGTTGTTTAGAGATTGCAAGTCACTGGGAACTGTAACATATAAGCATAAAGTTATTATTGCGTTGTTGTAAGCCTCTACGTGCGTATTGTGAATACTTAATATGCGTTAATTTAATCAGTTTATTACAAATCTATCAGGTTTATGAATTTCAAAATTATGTGCGGCAAGTGAGTACTTAACGTGCGACAGGGAAATAGTTAATGTGTGTATGTTGAGCAGTTAACATGCATACGTGTTTTTTAAAACTTATGGTCATTAGTTAACGTGCTTCAGTGAGTCCATTAGCATGGGTCAGTGTAAACAGTAACATGCGTCAGGAAAGCACTGAACGTGCGTGTGTTGAACAGATAACATGCTCAAGTGTTGTTTAAAATTTTACGTGTGTAATTAACGCGCGTCAGTGAAAACAGTAATATGCGCATTTGTAAAACTTAACATGCGGCTACATAATCATTTACGTGCGTAAGTCTTTAGGCTCGGAATAATTAAGATCGGTCATTATTTCAGTTGTTAAGTTGCATGCATGTAGTGTTTACTGTGCGTGTAATTAAGACGAGAAAGAGGCCAATATAAGAGCAGCTAAAATTAATTCGAAATTAGCGATAAAATTTGGATAATACCTTGATCGAATTCTTCCATTCTTGATCAGTTGACGTTGTTGCTCACTTTAGGGTTTCTTTTGATGAACAAGCTATTGAACGATGAAGAGAATAGATTTTCTTGCCAATTTCATAGAGATCGAAAAATCGACTGAGCTTAGGAAATATCAAAGATTAGGAATCAATGGGGAATTTTGAAAACGCGCAAAGAAGAAGAAGATCAGAAATTTTAAATTTGTTTTTAATATGATCAAAAGGACAAAAACGCCCTTAATGAGTGATTCGCGTTTATATTTTGCTGTGAATCTTCTCCGTTGGATCAAGAGCTACGTAAGGCTTAGATTCAACCTCATTTTTTACAGGAAGGAGTAAATGCACGCGAGCCCTTCCCTATATATATATATATATATATATATATATATATATATATATATATATATATATACATATATATATATACATATATATATACATATATATATATACATATATATAACACCTACGATCTAAAAACTGGAAGGCATAACAAACAAAAAAGAAGCAGGCAATCAATAAAGACGAAGACAATGACAAATCTATCCAAAAGCGAATTAGTAAAACTTAGAGTAATTCCAACCAAAAGTAGTATCTACTACCTAATATCATGTCAACTACAACAAGTATTTAGATAATTATTTTAGAAAAGTGCATATTAAACATTAATTTTAATGCCAATTATAATGAACTTTTCCTATATAATCTTGTATTGATATACATTGGACATTAAATCAGTCATGCAATATGCATGTAGAACTAATATAAGGATAAATACGTATCCCAACTATCATCTCAAAGATTTTAAGGAACACCATCAATTATAGGAATGAAAATTTTGTTCGGTGATTACCTAGTCAATTTTCTGAAAATTTTATAAATGCCATAGTCACACAAAATTTTAATGTTGCATATGATGGATTAACTTATAGGTATTTAATTTATTGCATGGTTTTTAAACCGCCATAAACCTTAGCACTGATTCGAAGCTCATATCTAAAATGAAAAGAGCCATAATAAGGAGTCAATCTGGACATTGGTGTATATAGAGTAGTTTTCGTTGTAAGATTTGTGTAGAATGATATCTTTATACTCGATATCGTTTTTAAGGAGTGAATCAAAAGAGAAGTTAATTGTGTGCAAGTTAAGCATAAAATATATTAAACAATTAGAAGTTAGTTTTCACAAATTGGCATAGGGATAGCATAGAAACAACTAAATAACAAACAACGAAGCAATAGAAGTAACAATCAAAAATAAAGGGATTTGGACTAAGCCAACCATTGCATAAATGCTATGAAATGTCTTAAAGATTGGTTCATGCAATGGCCTAGCAAGAGTCATGAGACATTCAACAATGGTGTTGATGTTCTTTTTCATAGTCGTTGGACTAACCAACTAGCCTTGGACACCACTTTCATGGTAGCTCAATACTAATTGAGTCATTTTGTCAGACACATAACATTCAAGTCTCCTTTTATCATTTTCTTTCTCAATGCAAATTCTGACTATCAAGATATTTTTAACTTTGTTAACATTCAAATTAGGCTTTGTTGTCTTCATCATGAAAGTTGTAGGTCTTTGAATTATATCGTTCTAATTTCACTTGAATTACTCAATTTGAACACTTCTACACTAAAATATGACCAAAATATTGAAACATTATATCGCTTGGCAAATCTTTGTTCGTGAAATCGAACTCTTTGTATGCTACCTACAGCTGCAACTAGGGGCATGGGTGGCAGAGCCATAAAACTAGTTTTTCTCCCATTCCTTGCTATTTTAGGTCCATGAGTCATGTCGTGGTACTTCTAACTTAACCTTTTTGCCTTCGATCTTAAGCTTAAACTAGTTACTTAAGCATGTCTTTAATTGTACAATTGTACCAATATCACTTCAAAACACACCCATTTGAACTCCAATTTACATTATTTTACAATCAATGTCTCCAAATTATCTAAACGATACAAATGACTCAAATAAGCACACACTTAACTTCAAATTAACACAAAACCATAGAAATTTGATGTAAAATATACATACAAATAGTCAAAATAGACACTTATTAGTAGCAGGTGGTGAGCTTGATTGAAACAAAACAGTGAGCGTTCGACAAAGAGTTGTTAACCACTGCAGGAACTGGGATGTGGGCCTCGGTGACAATCTGCTCAGAAGAGACTCCAACAGAACTGTACTGCATATCTGGGGACATTGTCGCCATGAGAGAAATTGACTCCGATACTAGATAAGAACTGTATTTCTGGAATATCATTCACAATTGACCGGTACATAACATACATACAAAATACATAACAAGAGTCCAACTACAATTACAACAATAGAGTCCTATCAATATCAACGAGCATTGCCCAAAGAATTACGTAAAAATGATCTACAATGAGCTAGAGAACATCATTGCAAAAAACAAATATTCAAAGTTCGTAGCACTGAATTATGAACATTTTGAGATTTGTTTAAGTCCATTCCCAGCCCACTCCAAAAAAAAATTTATAAAATATAATTACAATTAGGAAAAATGTTAAATGTACCCAGAATATTACTCTTATCACACCTTCTAATTTTATTATTAGGGCAAACTTTACTGTGGACCATGGTCCATGTAGTAATGTGGTCTATAAAATAAGTATCGTTCTAATTACACTTTAGTTTCATTTGAAAATATTGCTCTGTTTTTTAATTTTATTTTCCACACTAACTAGTTTCATTATAGCAATACCAAAGTATCATTTTAATTTTACTATAGTTTTATTTGATAATATACATTATTGTATGAACTCTATTTTGTTATTTCATTTTTCACATGAACACTAGTTTAATTATAATAAAGTTAAAGTATTGTTTTAATTACACTTCACGTTCATTTGACAATATATGTTATTGTATGGTTCTGAAGTTTAGTTTCATTTTTCAAACACACTAATTTTATATTAATATTATTAAAGTATCATTTTAATTATACTACAATTTCATTTGACAATACGTTGTTGAATGAGTTCTGTTTTTAGTTTCATTTTTCACACACACTAGTTTCATTTTAACAACACTAAAGTATCATTTTAATTCTACTATAATTTCATTTTATAATTATGGTCCACGTAGCACTATGGACCACAGTTCACTGTATAACAACCGTTTTATTAGCGATATAAAAATATAATAATAATAACTCATTAAATAATGGAGTAAAAATAAGAAGTAAATATAATATTATACTCTAAAACTAAGCTTGAGGTTTCGAATATAAGGTCAGCTTAACAAATAAATAGTCTTAACAATTTTAATCTATAATTGAGTCTCTGTGATCCTAACACGCTTTTAAAGCGTTTAAAAAAAAAAAAAAAAAAAAAAAAAAAAAAAAAAAAAAAAAAAAAAAAAAGCGTAACATATATACATGTTCACCTTTTTATCATTTTTTTTGAAGTAGTAAAAAATATTCACATTTCCCTATTAGTTTCAGATTTGTTTGATTGAGATTATGACCTTGTTTTGTAACTACTATCAATCAATTTTAGTTTATTTGACCACTATTAGTTGTTTTACTTGGTTAAACATTCGTTATAAGTGTTTGATTGATTAGCTTTTTGTAACAGTTTATTGCTCCAAAATGCTAAAATTTAAAAAGTTAGTCAAAATAATTTTTTCGATCCGTTTTTTTTTTTTAAATTCATTTTACATGTAATTATCTAACAGCAAATAGCTAATTTATCAAACATCTTTCTACATTCAGTTGATGCTATCAACTAGTGAAACACTCTAATCCAATCAGCTAACAACTAACCTCTTTTTTTTTCTTTTTTCTTTTTTTTTTTTACCTATCACCCCTATATGTATTTAATATTAAAATTGGGTAAGTAGGGATACTGTGGAAGGAGACTGGAGAATAGAAGTTGGCAAGTTGGAAGAAGGAAGGAAGGCATGAATACAATGGTGCGATATGCAGAGGGCGCACTATAAGTGAATCATATCTTCTTGGTAGCCAATAAAATAATTAATAATAATAAGTTCCTTAGGTCCGGCCAATTTTTTTGTGGAGTATAAATGAAAGTTACATTTTTAATATATTAAAAATGCATTATTTAATAGTATATAATGTATTTTTAGTATTCAAATAATATATTTTAAGTATACAAATAATATATTTTTAATATATTAAAAATGTATTTTTTATTTATGATCCACGTAACTGTGTAGAGCATGATCCATGCAATAATGATTGCTTAGTTCAGTTGCGGGGGGCCGTACATGCATCAACTACAATTCTGATTCCCCCAATCTGTATGTATATCATGATATCATCCATCTTCTTTGCTATTATATTGCTTCCCATCTTTTTTGCTTCCCCACTTTCTCCTGTTGCTTTTTACCTATTATTCTCTATTTCCTTAGCTTTCTCATACTCAAATAATTAGATAAATATTATCATCCCAATTTTGAAAAATATGAGATTTGATGTCACTTTTTGGTAATCGAAAACTTAAGATTTTTCGTTAAATTAAAAATTATTTTTTCCAGCCTCTTTGAGGATCTGAAAAAATCTCTCTTTGCTATTACTAACCACCTTCAAAAGAGGTATGTAAACTAACACTAACAAAGGTCATTAAAAAACGTTTTTGAAAATAAAAATAAATGCTTCATTAAAGACCTAAGAAAGCCAAAATACAAGGAGATGGTGAAGAAATCCACGAACCAAGAACAGACAAAGAACCAGTTGCCTATGTCAGAGCATGAGTTACCTGATTCGCTGACCTCCTGATATGGCAAACACAGACGTTCCCAATATAACTAAGCATGCATCTTCGACTAAATAATTAGACAAATAATTGAAGTCATTAAAAAACGTGATCGCCTAAGTTTTGTAATTAATTTGTAATAAAATCAACTAATTCATATATAAAAAGATGCTGAGGAGTTGAGAAAGGTGTCCTATAGGCTATACACTTATGACCTTATTTGATAGCGAGAAGATGATCAATCAATACAAGTAACTAATTAATATTAAATTCAATTAAATAAAACAATAAGAATAGTTATAATACTTAACTATATTTAGTATGTCTATAGACTACTGCAACCACAATCTGTATGTATACAATGTACTAGTTTTTTACGCGCATTGTGCGATTGAGATAATGCCCAATATTTTTCTAAATAAGTATTTTAAAGTATATCAATGCAAGATTACATTGGAATTGTTCATGCATAGATAATTGAATGTTAAATTTGTGTATTTAAATAGGTAATTCTAAGTTTACAAATGCAAGATAATATAGTCAAGATTGATTATAGTTGTCAATAAAATAATTGTATAGGTATAGTTGAAACCAAATACAGGACATAAGGGAGAGAAAATAAAAATTAAGGCATAAATTATTAAATACTCCGTATATACTAATATTGAAGAGCTAACTACTGATTGCCAAACAAGGACATTGCGAGATAGTTTCTCACTTCAATTTGTTGTGTGATTTGAATACTCTTTTTGTCAATAAATCTCCCAAGTAGTTAATATGATTGACTTAATTATATTTTTATATTTTTATTTTTTTAAAACAATTATTATTATTATTATTATTATTATTATTATTATTATTATTATTATTATTATTATTATTACTATTACTATTATTATTATTATTATTATTATTATTACTATTATTATTATTATTATTATTATTATTATTATTATTATTATTATACCCTTAGGTCATTTTACATGTTAATCTAAACAACTAATTATTTCAAATATCTTTTTACCAACCATTGATATAATTCGCTGGTCAAATTCGCTAATATAATCCGCTAACGCTAACCGCTAACTGCTGATTGTCAAACAAGGATATTGCGAAGTTGTTCTCACTTCAATTAGTTGTGTGATTTGAATAGTCTCTTTGTCAACAAATCCTTCAAGTAATTAATATGATTAGCTTTATTAATTATATTTTTTAAATTTTTTCATGGTATTAATAAAATACTTGGTAAATAAATATATAGCATTATTTTGTATTATAACTTTGATATTTAATTAAAAAAAAATAGTGCACAAAAAAAGGTAATAGACAATGTGTGAATATAATCAATTGATGAATTTGAATGTAAAGAATTTTTACATTGGAGAAATATAAAGACAATATAACTAATAAAATTATTTCTCTTAATTAATTTATTAATAATTAATTATTTTTTTAATAAAGACATTGTAGGGACAATGTAGCAAATATAATCAATTGATGAATTTGAATATAAAGAATTTTTATATTGGAGAAAAATAAATAAAATATAACTAATGAAATTATTTCTCTTATTTTTTTATTTTTTTTTTTTTTTGAATGCTACTAGCTCTATTACATTGTAGTATCTGTTCATATACTTTCTCTTATTTAATTTATTGATAATGAATAATTTTTTTGAATAAAGGCATTGTAGACACATAATTCTAAATTAAAAAATGATATGTATTATTTTTTGTTGTAGCTACTAAATTATTATTTTTAATTAATTTAATAAGAGTAAAATAGAGTACTAATTATGCCAACTTTGATTGGGATGAGGTTCGAACCTAAGACCTTTAAATTCTTATTAAAATCAATGAGTAAGTTAACGGTGAACTAACAAAAATTAACGGAAAAGATAATATTTAACGGAAAATCACATTCATTAAGGATAAATTAAGAAATCTTAAGGAAAAATTAAAATCTGATCAATCTGAGCCATTCATTTGATTAAAAAATTTGACCGTCATTTTTTCTACCCATTATAGGCCTAACTCTCTTGAGCTCTTATTAGTATAGTAGATGTTATCTATATATTCTATTTATAATATTTTTATTACTACATCGGTCCCATTTTATGTGTAACAAGGCTTAATTGAAGTTATTTACAATTTAATTTTTATAATATTTAATTTAGTATTAGTATATAAAATTTATATATTTAGAAACTATATTAAAAGTGCCATTAAACGCACACAAAAAATTTAAAAATAAGAAAATACTAAAGAAAGTAATTAGCAAAGAAGAAAAACTTATTTAATCAATGAATAGCTAGTAAAAGAGACATGCAAAAGGAAAATACTATACCTATGTGTACTCTCATTTTTTACTCTCAACTCCCACATACAAATCTTGATGTGGACACTTGTATTGGGACCCATATAAAAAAAGTAGTTTATCAGTGTCCGTCAGGCTGCCACAT